CGATATCTGTTGGAGGGGCTAAGGGGCCTGGGCCTCCTCATTCCAACAATTGATGATATGGGGTTTCTGGGGAAGTAGGGAGCACTGAGGGCTGGGGGTTCTGACCCTGGGGGCACTCAATTTTCCAGTGTTCCCATTGGCCACAGGAAGAGCACAGCTTGGAGGAAGGTCTGGGGTTTGGGTAGGCTTTCTTGGCCCAGTGTCCTAGGTTGCTTTACTGGAAGCAGTTTCTGGGAGGAGTGCCAGTGGAGTGATGGGCAGGGGTAGGGCTTGAGGCTGTTTTTTTGTGGGCACACATGGGGCTGTAGAGTTAAAGCCAGAAGTTGGTATTTAACTTTGAGGTGTTTTTCCTGTTCTTTTTTATGTTCATCTCTATTATTGAATACTCGAAATGCCGCATCTAGAAGTTCCTGTTGAGGGGTCTTGGGTCCCTGTTCTAATTGCTTTAGCTTTTTCTGAATATTTTGGGCTGACTGGCATATAAATTGAACATGGAGAAAAAGAGTGCCAGCTGGGGAATTAAGGTCTAGATTGGTATATTTAGTGATGGTGTCCATGAGATACACTAGGAAGAGAGCCAGATTCTCCTCTGGTCCCTGGGTGACTTCTCTTATTTTGTCATAGTTAACCTGGATGTGGGCATTATTTTTCATCCCTTCAAGGAGGCAAGAGATCATATGGTTAATACGAATCTTGCCAGCATCCCCAGGTTGGTATGTCTAATCTGGTTCCGAAGAGGGAATAGTATTGTCAGCTACTAGGTGGAGGCCAGGATTTTGTCCATGTAACTGATTGGCATGTTCCCAGGCAGATTGACAAATATGGTTGCACTCATCTGGGATAGGGTAGAAGCAAGAATATAATATAAGTCAGCCCAGATTAAGTGATAAGCCTGAGTTATGTGGAGAAATTCCCTACGGAATCTGGCAGGATTTTCAGAGAAACATCCTGGGTGATTTACTATCTGAGACATGTCACTCAAAGAAAAGGGAACATGAGCCCAAACAGTGCCCTCAGCATTCCCTCCTCTGGAGAGGGAACATGTGCGCTGCCTGTGTGCGAGACCAGGTCAGAGGAGGGGAAGGCATGGGACTGGGTGAGGACTAGGCTTGATGGGCTGGGAGGGAATGGTGGGGGGTAAGGATGGGGAGGAGGTCGGGGAGGGAGAAGGAGGTAAAGGGGGGTACAGTTGGGGTGCCTGGAATGGGGGGTGGTTCATCTGCAGGGTCATGTGTATCTGAATCAGGAGGAGGATCATTAGAAGAGGTCTGAGGTGAGGGAGCTTGAATAGGGGTCGTTTTTGAGGAGGGGGAAACAGGGTTGGAGAGAAGAAGTTGATAGGTGGGCTAGTTGAAGCAGAGAAGGGTGGGAACAGAGGAGGATAAAGGCCTTTAGGTAGGGGACCTCTGACCATTTGCCATTTTGTTGAAGAAATGAGTTCATGTCCTAGAGAATGGCGGAGTAGAAAGTGCCATATTTGGGCCAATGATTACTATTGTCCGGTTAATATTGAAGCCAAATTTGGACACAAAGGCATGTGAAGTTTTTGTGTTTGAGGTTTGGTGTTAAACTGAGGACCCCAATGTTTTTTAGAAGGCAAAAAAGAGGACTTTCCTTAGGGATAGACTGATTTGACCCCATGTTGAGAAGGAGAACACAAGAGGAGAGGGCCTGTGGACTCGGCAAGTGGGCGTCGCCAGTTGCCTCGTCTGGGCCGATGAGTCCTTGGAGAGGTGGAGTGAGCGTCCGCTGCTTCGAGCTACCCACGGGGATCCCTGGGACCAGGAGGGTAAGAGTTCCCGAAAAGAGGTGTTGCTCTTGGGATGCCTTCAAGAGCAAAGTGAAATCCTTACCTTGTGTCTCCTGTAATTAGTGACTGGTATTGGACACAGAGACACAAATGGCAAATGTCGCTGGCCTGGAGGTCTCAGCTGTCCCATTTGGGAGAGAAAGCGAGAGAGGCAGACAGTAGCAGTGGGTTACTTGGTCAATTCAATATGGCCTCCATTGGGAGACCTTCCCTTCTCACATGACAGTAAAGGCAGTGAGATGTAAAACCTCCTGGTCACTTACTGCCCGTCGTTTAGTCTTAGCGAGCTTGGGGGTGACTGAGATCCACCCTGTAGTGTCGAAGGATAAGGGAACAAGAGCGAGGAAGAGAAGGGAAAGAAGAGAAGAGAGAGAGAGAGAGAGAGAAGAGGGGAGAGAGAGAGAGAGAGAGAGAGAGAGAGAGAGAGAGAGAGAGAGAGAGAGAGAGAGAGTGCACCAGAGGAGGGAGGGAAGGAGGACCTGGGCTAATGAACTGGGAGCCCTCCTCCTGGGTTTTGGCACCAAATGTTAGAAAAGAAGACACAGAGAAGAAAAAAAGAGACTGAGACCTCTGTAGACCAGACCATGCTTTATTTCACTGTGGTGAGTGGTGTCCTGCACTCTTGACAGGCTGAGATGCAAGTCATGCTGTCAAGAGGTTTTATGGGGCTGGCAGCCAGGGAGTGATCCTTGTGATTTCAGACAGCTGCTCCTTGCAAGCAGTCAGGAAGTGATAAGGGGAAGTGTCTTGTGTTCTCAGGCAGCTGCACCTTTCCTTGCATCAGAGGTTACTTAGGCAGCATGGGGGTCTCTGCTTGGGACTTCTGGGATCCTGGAGAATAATTCCTTTATCCACAGTGGGCATACATTGAGACACCCCTATGAACATCAACTTAAATATTAATAATGAAAAACAGGACTGTAATAGGTAACAGTGTATGTGGGATGGGTACTAGTGGGAAGGGGAGGGTGAAGGAAAGGTGATTAAGGTGACGGTATATGGTAGATAGTCTTCATATACCTATAGAAACAGAACTAAGAAACCTTTTACAATTGCTTTAAGTGGGGCAGGGAGGGGGTTGAGGGGGAGAGACAACAGGGACAATGTAACTAATGTACAATATAAGTCTTATCAGAATTGTCACTATGAATCTCCCCTGTATAATGAATATATCCTAATAAAAATTATTAAAAAAAAGAAAAAAATTGACTTTGAAAAAAGCCAAAAATAAATGAAACTAAAAGGATTTCTTGATTCTTAATTCACTTATAGCCTTTATATGGTCCATAACTTTAGAAAGAATAGCACAGCTTATATAAGGTGCTTTGTATTACTTTTTTTTCTGTAAAAATAAAGAAGAATACTCTGAGTTTTTGAATCACCATTAATATCAAAAATGAATATTCTTTTAATTTTATAGCACTGCATGTTGTTTTCTACTCTTGAACAAAAACAAAACCTTATAATAATATCTAAAATGAAATCCAAGAGATGAGCCTGCTGCTCTGAACATGAAATTTTGTAACTTGTTATTAAAGCCTAAAATCTAATAGATAAGCTAGAATACTAATAGTTTATTAAGTCAGTGCAAGAAACTCAGGATTCATTAACCTAAGATCCTCCAGCTGTCTAGAAAGTCTTACAAGGAATGTACTGATAGTAGTTTAGATTTAATTTGCACATAATGCATCATAGACGTTGTAATGATTGTCTTTCTTTAAATGGACAGTTCTAAAGTAAAACTTATTTTCTTAGGAAATACCTGTAGACTATAAATATATTAGAAAACTAGATTTATTCTGGGTGAGATACACCAAATTTAACTTCAAGCCATCATATTATAGTAAATAATTAGAATGTCTTGCTAACATAACTATACAATATATGAAGTTTGATGTTTTTCATTATTTCCCATTGATTGCATAGAAACCCAATTATAGTTTTGAAGACAATTAAAATAATTCAGTCAACAATACTGTGTAGTAATTATACTCATAAGAGAAACATTTCAAACCAAGAAAACTCAGGTGGGTTATGGTAATATGTAAATGTTCAGTTATCTAAGTATCTTTTAAATGAAGTGTCATTTACCACTGTGTACTGTTGAGAAAAATGTCAATTTCCAAATAAAGACATGCCCGTGAATTATTTGCCTGTAAGGCTAAATAATTCTTGTTCATAAGTTATTTGCCTATAAGATTAATACTCAGAGTATTCTTCCTTCTTTGTTATTAAGGAAATAAAAGAGATGGTATTTAATTCTTTATCTTCTTTTATTCAGTCACTGAGATACTTGGCACTCAAAGAATTCACAACAAATAATATTGTCACTGAATTTTTATCTGTCTGCATAGTCTACATATCAAGTTGCTGATGCTTACTAAGACACTCAAGAAATCTTATTTGCAGTAATCTGAGAACATTTTTCTTTCAGTATTAAACACAGAATGGCAGCTAAATTATTAACACCACATAATAAAATCAAGTCTGCCAGAAATCTAGTCTTTTTTTTCCTTGGGGGCTTTTGTATACCATGTGTCTAGGAGGTATCATTCATGGTACCTTATAGGTGCGTCACTATTTTCTGTGGGTAAGCAATTCCAAAACCAAAGTGTGCCATTCGTAGCAATGTAAGAGTAAGAGAATTACTGAAAAATCTCAGTCCAATACTTTATGAATTAAAAATTGAAAACAACCCATAGCAATGACTATGAATATGATGTCAGACTGTTCATACTTGGATCACATTACAACATTAATAGGCTTTTGGTAAGTCTCATAGGTTATACTTCAATAAAAAAACAAAGAAACAAACAAACTGAGCTTCAACAAACAAGTCTTAGAATGTTATTCTGAAGCCCTGAAAGTTAAAAGAGTGTGTACAGCTAGGTACCTGAGAGAAACACAGTATCAGGTTCCCATCTTCCTGCTTAGTGTGCTCTTGGGGTCAGATTGGGTTTACTTATCACATGATAGCCAAACACTAGTATCTTAGACCCATGGAAAGCACTGGCTGTGAGAAGCAGTGCAGCTGGGGCTCAGGAATCTTAGGCAGACATCACTACATTAGGTGTCCTTATAAGTTGACATTTTACTGTCTCTTTTCATAATCATGTTTATTTTCCCTTTAACCTACCATTTTGTTTGACTTTAAGTCACATAAAATACTTTTAATGTTATTGTCATACAGCTCAAAATTGTTCTGGATTGAGAACCTGTGGACAGTGTTTGGAACAGCCTGGATGTGGTTGGTGCAATGATCCCAGTAACACAGGAAGAGGACACTGTATTGAAGGGTCTTCCCGGGGCCCAATGAAGCTTGTTGGAATGCACAACGAGATGGCTCTTGACACCAATCTTTGCCCCAAAGAAAAGAACTATGACTGGTCCTTCATCCAGTGTCCAGGTAATAAAATGTGTTAAAAACCAATCTCGTTTTCTGCTCAAGTTCACCAAGGTAGCATCTTTTATTTTTTGTGCCATTATGATACCTTAGAATTCTCATGCAATTCAGTGTATCTGGAGAAACTTTTTGATAAGTATGGGAATGCTGTATAAATATTTATTATGGCATCATCTGGCATTATTTTGAAAGCTGCCTTTGGCATTCATTACTACTCCATTTTGAAGATCATTTAATTTTTCAGCTTTCTTCATTAGAACCCTATACTTATACTGAATAAAATCAACCTTCTTGAAAAACTAATTTATTCAATTACTATTTATTGATAGCCTGTTACAAGCTGAACTATGTTTTAAGTACTAGAGATGCAACAATTAATAAATTAGTCTAAAATTCCTGGATTCATGGAGCTTGAATTTTTATTGAAATGAATAAAATTAATTACAAATAAGGTTAAATGGTGATAGGTGCTGTAAGTGAAGGAAGGGTAATAAAGTTTTCTATTTAAATAGAGTGGTGAGAGAAGACGTCAGTGAAAATTAATATTTAGTGAACACCTATAGTAGAAGAAGGAATGAGTCATGATTAGTATGTGTGTGTAAAGACTATTCCAGAAGAGATAATAGCTTAAACCAAAATTTGAGTGATATAGCTTATTTGGGAGGCTTAAGAGAGGGAATGGGGATAGATTTTCTAAAAGGAACTAGAAAACCAATAATCTGTGCATTATTAAGCTGGCTACCACACTGGGAGACTAGAACTCACACCTACTGGGAACCTCCGAAGAACCACGATAAGCCCTCCTCAGTTACCTACTGAGGCACTGAGAACCTGGACCATTTATCCACTACTTTGTGACCCATTGTTTGAGGGATGCCCCTGAGGGTATACGCTATCTTCTATGTCCAAGCTGTATCAGCACGTTTGACCAATAGCCCTCCCTGGGACCAGTGAAAACTTGGAAGCAGAAAAGAGATTTTGCAAAACATGCTTTAGATGTGATGCCAACACTGTGCAGCACTGACACCAGATAAGCCAGGGAAGATGGTGGAGTGCAATAATACCTGTTACAAAAACTATGAAATACATCAAAAACAATAACATGGGCCAAGTTATTGATTCACAGAACAATATGGCTGAATTTTATTTTATTTTTGGTGGTAATGGGTTTGAACTCATGGTCTCATGCTCACTAGGCAAGTACTGTACCACTTGAACCATGCCTTCAACCATATTTTTGCTTTAGTTATTTTTCATAAAGGGTCTTGTGTTTTTGCCCAGACCTGGCCTCAGTCTGTGGTCCTCTTATCTATGGTCCCCTGAATAGGTGGGACTCATATGCACACCACATGCCTGGCTGGTCTGATGAGATGGGATCTTAGTAGTAACTTTTTGCCTGGGCTGGCCTCAAATTGTGATCATTCTGATCTCTGCATTTGCTGAAATCTATACTGTATTAAAGGATGTAGCTCAGTGGTAGATCACTTGCTTAGCATGTGCAAAGCCCTGGATTTGATCCCCACTACCACAAAACAAAAACAAGCAGACGAACCCCTAACATATGCCACAAAGAAAGAACCTCACTACATGCAGTAAAAACAAGTCAGCTATGATGTTGGGGAATCTCAGGATGGAATGCAAATTAATGTAAGGTATTAGAGATGGAAAAATCAAAATCATTAGAACACCACAGCAATGATTACTATAGAAATTATCCTTTTAAGAATGCTAAAATTAGTGGGAGAAAGGAGAAAGAGAATATTTACGTAACTTCAAAGTATCATTTTCAAAAATATTTATTAATTACTGTGGTGTTTTTAATACATGCCCACAAACTCTTTTGTAGTCCTTCCACTAGTGGTTGGAGCTTAATTTTTCTCCCCTGGAATATGCATTGGTCTTAGAGACTTGAATCTAATGAATAATACAGTATGGGAGAGGGAAATTGTTACTGCTTTGTACAGACAGTGAGTGCACATCTGCTTAACCAAGTGATCAGTGTTAATACACCTGTGATAATCCGCATTAATATGCAAAGCTAGTGAAATCCAAATACAGTCTGTAGTTTAATAGTGTTGTATCAATGTTGATTTTTTAATTTTGATAAATATACCAGGTGAGGTAATATACAAACATTTGGTAGACAAACACTCCTATACTTTTTTTGCAGTTTTTCTGTAAATATAAAATTATCTTAAAGTACATTCTTAAAAAAATGCATGGAAATTCAGAAAATATTTAAAGGCAACCTCCTAAGTGAAAAATATAGCTACTGGAATTAGAAATTCCATGGGTGCATAAACTAGCAAGTCAGATGTAGTTGAAGAGAACATTACGAAGCTAGAATATAAATATGAAGAAACAATTTGCAGTCCAGAGCAATAAATAGAAAAAGATAAAACGGGCAAAATATGAAGAGAGGTTAAAGGGAGGATAGAATGAAAAGTTCTAAATGTACCTGGTAGGAATTTCAGAAAGAGAAAATGGAAAAGGGGTGAGGAAATATTTAAAAACATTGCCACACAATGGGGATATAGACACTATAAACACACAGTTAGTACCAACATAAAATAGCATTTACTGTGAAAATTTCATAATTGGAGGGGTAGAAAAGTACATATACTTTCACATATTCTTAGTACACTAAGAAAGTTGTGTTTAGGTCAAGCATAGCTGGTCTATATGCACCAGCATTTCAGAAGATGAGGATATGGTTCCCAGAATACTCCACAGTTTTTTTGGGGATGTTGTAGGGAACATATATGACAAGTGGATTAAGTGCTTCATAGTGAAGAAAATTTTAGTTAGAGATGGTGTTTTTTAACTCGTATGGTGATTAATCTTGATTGTCAACTTGATTGGATTAAGAAATGTCTAGAAAATGAGTAAAACACACCTGTGGTGTGTCTGTGAGGGTGTTTCAGAGAGGAAACCTGAATTTTGGTGGCTCCATCCCATTGGCTAAGGGCCTGAATGGAATAAAAGGGGAAAAAGGAAAAAGCCATGTAGTGCAGACCTTCTCGCTCTCTGCTTCCTTACCATGATGTGCGCTGCTTTGCTCTGCCACACCCTCCCCTCTGTGATGAATCGAAACCTCTGAACCATGAACCATATGTCATGTATGTTCTCTACAACATCCCTTAAGTTGATTTGTTCAGGAATTTTGAAAAAAGTTGACTAACAGAAAATTGGTACCAGAGAATTTGGATCATTGCTGGACTAAACTTTAACCATGTGGATTAGAAGTCTGAGGAACTGATCTGTGAGAGAAATTTGGAAACGATTGAAAATGTGGACTAGAAAAGATGTAGAATGCCATAGGCAGAGCTTAATGCGTGATTCTGATGGGAGCTCAGAAGACCAGATTGGGGATAGCAAAGACTCTTCTGAGGTTTCAGATGGAAATAAGAACTTTTTGAGAATTGACTACAGGCCATTCATGTTACATTCTGGTAATGAACTTGTCTGTATCTTGTCCTTGTCTTAAGACATTGTGGGAGGCTGAGTTTAAAAGTGAAGAACAGTTTTTTTTGGAGGAGAAAATATCAAGACAGTCCACACAGGCATGATGATTGCTAGCTGCTTTTAGCTGGCTTTGCAGTGAAAAATGAGAGCAAAAAGCAGAGCATGAAGAATTAAAACACTTGTAGTCTGGTCAAAGAAGCAGGTGTAAAGTTGGGGCTAAGAAAGGCATGATTTCTGAAGAAGTCAGTACCACTAAAAAAAAGAGACATACTTTGCATAAGGACAGTAAGAAAGAAGCCTTGAGGTCTTCTCAGGGATTGGCCAGATCCCACCTATTGCACCTTCAAGGTAATGAAAGCATAAGCTCATTTGAAAGATTTTGCTTTGAAAAGAGAGTTCTGCAGTACCCTACTCACACGGGGCTTCCTAAGGAAGTCTTTGCCCACACTTAGCCATCTAAGTGGTCAGAGGCCACTGCAGCTGTGGTCCAAGTGGGTACAGTTACTGTTTGAGCTGGTGGCAGATCTTGGTGCCATCCACATGATGCTGGTTTTTCAGACATGTAGAATGAAGGAGGTACTAGGTGATGGAAGTTTCCATCAGACTTCAGAGGAAGGTCTGGGAGGCCAGGCAAAGTGCAACAGGGTCAGGATCCCTACAAGCAGCCTTTGAGAGGGTGATGCATGAAGCTGTGGGAGTGAAGCTTGAAGATGTAATGGAGACCCCAGGAAGATGGCGACTCCAGGAATGTAGAATGTGTGCTGCTGAGGAAAACTGCAGGTAATGAGCAGAGACAGTTCAAGAGAGGACCACATTGCCATATGGGACTGTCTAAGACCTCTGAGCCCATGTTCTCTTTTCCTCCCTCCCTCTCTCCCTCCTTCCTTTCTTCCCTCCCTTCCTCTTCCTTTCTTCCCTCCCTCCCTCTCTTTTTTTTCCTTCCTTCTTCGCTTTCCTCCTCTTTCTTATATCCTTCCACCCACCTACCTTTTTTCAGCTATTTTAACATGCTAAATAATTCATGTGATACGCTGGCGTTCTCGGGTGGTGAGGGTCCTTATTCTATGCTTAGATTGAAATCAAGGTGGACCTGAGTAGCAAAGGTCAGAGAAGTTTTATTTTTATAGAAGAGAAAGGAAAGGCTGCATGAGGGGACATGCAGACGGACTGAGAAACTGGTAGTCCCTGAGTTGGGTTGGATGGCAGGTTTTATAGTTTTTTTTATTGCCAGTGGGAGGAGTATGTTTCATTGGGAAGATTTTGGCATGAACAGATGTTTCTTGGGAAGGAGAGTAGGTGTTTCTCCCTGGCTAATTGCCATCTTTGCGGAACACATGGACCTCCCACAATCTGTCCTTCACATGTTCAGAGACAAAATAAAATCAGTCACAGGCAAATTTGTCAACAGATTACATAGACATAGAATCCTTGAGCCACAAGGCTTACATGTGTTCAGCAATGCATTCCTTATTGCAAATAGTTCCAAACTGTTTTCCAAAGAACTAGTACCGTGTACACTTTTAAAAAGCAGAATATGAGATACCCAGTTGTTCCACATTAATGCCAAGACTTAAAATTGTCCCTATCATTTTAACTATTCTGGTGAGTGAGCAGTGGCATCTTTTTTTGCTTTAATTTGCATTTCCCTCATTACCAAAGAAGTTAATTGCTGGGGTTGGGGGAGACATGGCTCAAGTGGTAGAGTGCCCTGAGTTCAAACCCCAGAACTGCCAAAAAAGCCAAACCAAAACCAAAAGCATCTTTTCACGTGTTTACTGGCCCTTTGAATATTGTTTTTTATGATCTATCTGTTCTGAGTTTTTTGCTCATTTTCTTATTGTCATTTTATTACTGATTTATAATCTTAATTCTGTATAGTTTTTCCTGTTATTTAAAATATCTTCTATCCTTAATTTGTTTGTTCACTTAATGATGCCTTTCTTATAAGCAGAATTTCATAATGTTTTATTATACTTATTGTACTTTCCACAATGGCTAATCTTTTGTGTCCCATTTAAAATCGTGGGATTCAGAAAGATAGTGAGTTAGAGACACAAACACTGTTTGCATCTCCACAAAACTGAAACAAGAGTACAGATGTGTGGCTGCAGAGAGAGGTGGGTATCTTGGAAAGGCATTAGAGTACAACAGTAGATAGTCAGTTACCAGGTGATACCCAGAAATACTGGATTTCAGAATTGTAGGAGAAATACATTAACATTACAGTAGGAAAAGGAGAACATACCCTCAGTGGGACTATAAGCAAAAGAGTGTCAACAAACTCCACAAATTCAGATTCCAGTCACTTGTAGAAATGCAGGTTAGCACAAGAGATCTGTAATCTGTGTAGCAAAGTGGTGCTGGAGAAGGTACCACAGTTAATGAAGAGACATCTGGAAGGTACCTACTGTCTGACTTCACTGCCAGGAAGATCAGAATTCCCTGCATTTTTCTATCTCCAAGTCCCTGTGGCCTCCCCTCTTCACTGGCTCTGCAGGGCAGTTAGGGCCCCAAACTCCAAGAACTAGTGTTGGTCCAGAAAACTGATTGTGATTTGGACACAAGTTCACTGCCGCAAGTCTGTGGTGGGAAGCACGGTCTTCATTATGGAGGGATGTGGAAGGTGCTTCTTGTGTGCATTCAAAAGTAGCAGTCTGACCTCTAAGAAGAGAAGGACCCGTGCTTTGGATTGGTCACCTTCTCCACACTCAGAGGCTCACAGACATTTAGAGGATACACTTCCACTGCTTGGACATTTTCTATGCCTATGGGTGCACTGAAAGAGAACCTCAGCTGCAGGGGGCAACAACCTGAGAAGTCCACAAGCTAGATCTGTGGCTCCTACAGTTGCCAGTGTCACTGGGGCTCTCTCTATAAAGAGCTCAATGGCATTAATAAAGCCATGGTTACTGTGTAGCTTACAGCAGGGAATAAGGCAGGGCAGAGCTCACCCTCCATACTGCCCCATCTAGTTTGACCCAGTTGATTGAATTGAGAAAGAAAGCAACACACTACCCCTCCCCCATGCCTGACACACTATGAAGTCAGAAGCCTGGGAAAGAAGCTAGAAGAACCTCAATCTCAGCAAGGAGGAATTTATACTTTTTCTTTCTGTCTCTTTTTGACTTATAGCTGTCTTGAAATTTAAATGTTTTCTGTTGTCAGGTTACAGTGAGAGTTTAATATGGGGATAATTTTCTTTTCTAAGATCCTTGGTTTTTTTTCTTTTCTTTTAGAGGACATACTGGAAGACAGTCTAGAAAGCCTCTAATTATTAAAAAGTTCTACCATGTTTATGTTGTTATAAATGCAATTTTAAAGAAGTTACTTTTCTAGACAGCCTCTTGAACAAAAATTGCTGGGAAAATTGGTTAGCAGTCTGCAAAAAACTGAAACTAGATCCATGTTTATCACCCTATACCAATATTAACTTAAAATGGATCAAGGATCTTAATATCAGAACCTAAACTCTAACGTTGGTACAGGAAAGAGTAGGAAATACTCTGGAATTAATAGGTATAGGCAAGAACTTTTTCAATGGAACCCCAACAGCTCAGCAACTAAGAGATAGCATAGATAAATGGGACTTCATAAAACTAAGACGCTTCTGCTCAACAAAAGAAATGGTCTCTAAACTGAAGAGACCATCCATAGAGTGGGAGAAAATATTTGCCAGCTACACATCAGACAAAGGACTGATAACCAGAATATATAGGGAACTTAAAAAACTAAATTCTCCCAAAATTAATGAACCAATAAAGAAATGGGCAAGTGAACTAAACAGAACTTTCTCAAAAGAAGAAATTCAAATGGCCAAAAAACACATGAAAAAATGCTCACCATCCCTAGCAATAAAGGAAATGCAAATTAAAACCACACTAAGATTCCACCTCACCCTCCCCTTAGAACAGCTATCATTAGCAACACCACTAACAACAGGTGTTGGCAAGGATGTGGGGATAAAGGAACCCTCTTACAGTGTTGGTGGGAATGTAAACTAGTATAACCACTCTGGAAAAAATTTGGAGGCTACTTAAAAAGCTAAACATTGATCTACCATATGATCCAGCAATACCACTTTTGGGGATATACCCAAAAAAATGTGACACAGGTTATTCCAGAGGCACCTCACACCCATGTTTATTGCAGTACTATTCACAATAACCAAGTTAGGGAAACAGCCAAGATACCCACTACTGACGAATGGATTAAGAAAATGTGTATTTGTACACAATGGAATCTTATGCAGTCATGAAGAAGAACAAAATTTTACCATTCGCAAGTAAATGGATGAAATTGGAGAACATCATTCTGAGTGAGGTTAGCCTGGCCCAAAAGACCAATATCGTATGTTCTCCCTCATATGTGGATATTAGATCAAGGGCAAACACAACAAGGGGATTGGACTTTGATCACATGATAAAGCAAGAGCACACAAGGAAGGTATGAGGATAGGTAAGGCACCCAAAAAACTAGATAGCATTTGTTGCCCTCAACGCAGAGAAACTAAAGCAGATACCTTAAAGCAACTGAGGCCAATAGGAGAAGGGGACCAGGAACTAGAGAAAAGGTTAGTTCAAGAAGAATTAACTTAGAAGGTAACACACATGTACAGGAAAGCAATGCGAGTCAACTCCCTGTATAGCTATTCTTATCTCAACTAACAGAAACCCTTGGTCCTTCCTATTATTGTTTATACTCTCTCGTCAACAAAATTAGAGATAAGGGCAAAATAAGTTACTTTTCTGATTACTTGTTCTGTAGGAATGCAATTTATTTTAGTATATTCCTTATATATGCTCTGAACACTTTTTCATTCTAGAGCTTTTCTTTCATATTTCTTAGGATTTTCTTTTCTTTTTTAAAATCTTTTTTTTATATTATTGTTGTGCTGGGGATACATTGTGACATTTGCTAGAGTTCTTACAATATATTATAGTTGAATTTGCCCTCTCCATCATTCTCCTGTTCTTAGGATTTTCTTAAAGTAACATATCAATAGTTATTTTTTTCTGTTTCAAATTATGCATTTTATTTTTGTTCTTTCTTGATTGCTCTTGGTAGAAACTACAGTAAAATGTGGAATAGAGTTAATGAGAATGGACATTACTGGTAGTGGAAAGCATTTTGCTTTTAACTTCATGCGTGATGTTAGCTATTTTTCATGAAATGTCTTTTTTTTTTTTTTTGCAGTACTGAGTTTAGCTCAGGGCCTTGTGCTTGGGAGGCAGGTGCTCTGCTACCTGAGCTGTACATCCAGTCATCTCCTTCTTTTTTTGCTTTAGCTATTTTTCAGGTAGAGTCACAAATTTTTGCCTGAGGCTGCCTTCAGATAATGATCTTCCTACTTACATCTTCCTATGTAGTTGAAATCACAGGCTCATACCACCACTCTAGGCTTATTGATCCATATGGGGTCTCCATAGCTTTTTGCATGGTCTGGCCTTGAACTATGATCCTCCCCATCTGTGCCTCCCAAGTAGCTGGGATTATAGGCATGAGCTACCATGTCTGGCCTAATGAAGTGTCTTTATCATCTTGAGGCAGTTCCTTTGTATTTCAAGTTAGCTAGTATTTTTTTTCAAAAAAGAATGATCAAATGTGTAAATATTCCAAAGGTATTTATGCATTTACTGAGATGATCATACAATTATTGTTTGTTTTATTTGGTT